GTGTTAATACTTGAATTATCAAATAATTAAATATAGTAGTATAAATAAATACGTCAGTACAAATTAATTTATGCAATTTGGCATTATGCTAGCAATTGAAAATCAATTATACTGGAAGTATATTCTAAATACAACTAATTAAATTAAAAAAAAAGCCATGATTTCATTTTTTTAATATACAAATGTCATAAAAAAAATTTGCTTATTCTAATATAAATTATAAAGTCAAAAGTCAACTTTGCGTATTGATCTTAGTAAAAACATTTGCTTATTTTAAGGCAAAATTTTGCCGATCATCTCTGACTTTTATATGTATTTTTCGGGGTCCTATGATGGCACAGCTGAAAGAAATTAAATAATAATGAGGCAATGATGGCACAGCTGAAAGTAATTAGATAATAATTAGGTAATGATAGTACAGCTGAAAAAAAATGAAGTAATAATAGCGCAGCTAAATGAAATTAGATAATGATGACATAATTTGGCTGCACCATTAGAACAGAATAATTAGATATATTATTTCATTACGTCAATTCTGTACTTATTCAATATGATTATCATTTATCTTAATAAAAAAAAAATCAAAAAAAAAATCAAAAAATTCCCATTTTATTAAGATGATTTATTTATCTTTGATATTTTTTTATAGAGAAAAAAAGAAGGAAATATTTTCAAAAAAAATTTTATTTATTATTCTTTTAGAACACTAGTAATATCATATAGGTTTATTTAGAGATAACAAAATTTTTTACATGAAATGGTGATATTGTAATTAATGGAAGCTTTATTTTTTTACCTTTTAGCCTCTTTTGCCTTTCCCACCTCTTCCGCCTCTCCCACCTTTCCCACTTTCTTGTCTATAATACGTACATTCCAATCTGAAAGGATCATTAACAGGATCGTTACCATTACCAGGATTGTTACCAAAATTGTTAGGATCATTATCAGGATCATTATTGGATTCTTCTAAATTACATAAATCTGATAATTTGCATTTTTGTGATCTATAGGTAGGAGTAGGAGATAAATGAGCTGTAGAAGGAGTCATTCTTGATGATTGATCTTGCTTCTCAGATTCTTTGAATTTTTTGTAATAAGATACGAATTTGGATTAGAGATGCAAACAAAACTATTTAGCCCAATTTAGCCCTATAGTATAATATAGCCAGATGAAACTGGGCGAAACTAAATATCAGCAAAAAATTTCTCCATTTTTTGTATTTGATAATATTTCAACATATTATAACATAATTATAATAGGTATACTTATTTTAAAAAATGCTATAGTTTTGTATTGCTTATAATAAAAATTTTATTTATTTGAAAAAGGCGAAATAGATAGTTTAGCCCTCACTTTTTCAAGATTAGGTTTTGTTTGCATCTCTAATTTGGATAGTTCATTGTTATCGGTAGTAGATTGGAAGGCTGGCTCATCATCATCAATAACGATCGAATTTTTCTTGTTAGAGTCATCAAATTCTTGAGTAAATTTTGATTAGGTTGAGAAAGTAAAAGATTATCGTCTATAATTATCGAACTTGTTCTTGTGCTAGAAACAGACCTTGAAGCTGATTCATTTCTTTTCAATGCAAAAGTGTTAACTGATTTCCTTGGAGATGTTGTTATAAAAGTTTAGTGATTCTGGTGGTGAAACCTCACATCATAATCAATTAGCTTGGTGTCAATTTGGATATATGTCTTATCGTTTATTAAGTAGATAGCTTCAAGAAAGCTGCCAATGAAAAAATTTGCGTAATCACCTTACTTGTCATTGAGAGAATCAAACCATTTTGTGTCTTTTGAGTAACCTACCTCAAAATTAATATAGTGAGCAGTTTGGTGAAATGGAGAATATATTAACGAACGAGTCTTAACAAAATTTATATCTTCGTAAGAAGTTAAGGGCTCTTCTGCAGATGTTGAGATATTTACAAACAGCCTTATTGAAGGAATTTGCATTAGATCCCACTTCAGATGTTCACTGTTTGGCCCACTTTCAGATCCATTAGACAAGCCATCTTGATGATAAGCTACTCACATGAAAAAAAATAAGTATATTTTTTAATTTTTATGGTTGTTTTAGCTACAAAAAATGCAATGTTACTGACCATTAATTTTTTTTCATCTAGTGTAAACTTCCCACCAAAGAGAACTAAATCTCCTTCTTTGAACTTTCATTATATTCATGATGAGCGTTAACTAACTGTTTGAAGGTGAAAGTATGAGTCTGGTTTGATATTTTTTCCCTATACAGGGTATTTCCGTTTACAGTATAGGCTGTTGATCTCAACCAGATGACAAGAGCAATTACTGATAATGTTGATGTCATTATTGAAATTTTTTCGTTAGAATGTAAAGAGGGAAGAAAATGAGTTTTTGAATTCATACTGGTTAAAATAAGGAGAAAGACATTCCATCTGGCAGCTATCCATATATGTAAATTAGCATTTCAGTTTGTATAAAAGAAAAATACTTCTTTTAGTGTGATCTTGTTTATGATTACCATATAATTGTTTTCTACATTTCCATTGAGCTGTTAACCAGCCCTACTTGATTCATAGATTTGACATTAGCATTGATTCAACATGGAATTTAATAATTAGTTCTTGTTCCATTTCTGAACTAAAAGTAAAAAAAGACCATTCTTCTGCCAGTTTATTAATTTAATCACTTCTTTTTCTTTACTATGACATCATATGTAAATAAATATGCTGTCAATACTCTGTCAATCCATATCGATTTTAACTAGTACATAATTACTATTGTAAGTTTGTTTATCAATATTAATAGTATAAACATAAAGTGATAATAATTAATTAATAAAATCTTTAATTTAAAATAGTAAATAGTTTCCAATTATTCTAATATTGTAGGATTTCATGTAGTGATACATCTCTAAAATGATACTACTCAATAAATAATTTTATCATAGAGATGATTTGAAAAAAAAATTGGAGAACAAAGAAGAATCAAAAAATTGCAGGTAGGAATTTCATAGTAAACAAATACATGGAATTTTTTTCCACTATTGAAATATCATTTCTTTGTATACCAAAGTTAAGGGATTATACCAAGATGCTTGCATGCATAAGGTTGTTATTCTCATATACCCATTTTCTATAAAATGTTTATATTGTAACTTGTTTCATTCTTCAAGTTTTAAATTCTAGTTATATTTTCTTTTTTGTAAGTATATTTGATACTTTTTAAAAATAAATTACATGTATTTAATAAAGAAAGAAATTATTTTATAATTATATTAAACAATCTAAATAATAATGATTAGATTTATAATTTGTATAGTAATTTTTTGGTATGATAATTTTGGTGAAAAAACTTTAATCATTATTTATTCGTCAATTTCTTTTGGACAACTAATTATTTTGATTTGATTGCAAGCTGATTCTTGTTGTTAATTCTTATATAAGGATTAGTAAAACATTTGCGACTTGTGGATCATAGTGTTCTAAAAGAGTCAGATTACATTGGGATGGACCAACATGTGAATTCTTGGTATAGAAATAGCAGTATCAACTCAAGCGAACAACTGCATTGTAAGTATATCTCAGCAGATGTTTATCATTAAATTTTTTAGTTTCATAAGAGATTATTATAATAGTAATTTGTGAGGAAGTATTTAAGAAAGGAATTTTTGATCACGATTTTCATTTAGGTTCAAATTATTGAAAAGCAGTCCGGATAAAAATAAAGATAAATAAATTATATAGATAAAGGTATTCTTTTCAATTATCATAAATTATATTATTATCTTTGATAAAACCAATTTCTATATATTGGATCTCGTTTTCTTTATCTTTCTTCATAAATAAATTAAATATTTAGTAAGTTTCTATATAATGAAGATTCTTTAAAAGGTTTTTCATAGTTTTATTTGAGAATATTTTTTGGAATGGTTTTTTGCTATGTAAATTTCACGAATTTACTACTGTTACAGGTAATATGAATGAATTATAAATAGGGGGGTTTTCATTATTTTCAAAATATTTTAATTCTGTATCATGATCTTTATGGGGTTTGTATTATATTAAATATCACAAATTTACTGCTATTAAACCAGGCAATTATAACCTCTAAAGCTAATATGGCTTCATATGTTGTGCATAAACTTTTTTGAATAATGTGCACTTTTGTGTATAAGGATAATCTGAATTTCCAACACTACTGTTGCCAAATCATAGATGTTTGTTTCATTTTAAAAAAAATATATAATTTTGATTTGGCAAAGGTGTGGTTGTTAAGTAAATGAATTGTGAACATAAAGTTTTTCATTCATTAACTTATAATTACTACATATAATATCATTAAAATCAGTAAAAATATCCTAAATATTCTTGAGATATATATAATTCATTTACTTATTATTATAAGTGAATAAAAAGATATAAAGTTTTTGTTAAACTTATACTTTCATTCCGAATAACTAATATATTTAATTTAATTGAAAACTGGAATTTGACATTTGTACTTAATGTAACTCATATATAATGAAATAAGAAGAAAGTAATTTTGGCTTTTTTGGGATATACTTTTTTTTGTTCCAACTTTTTTTTATTGGTTGAAGTATATAGGGAAAAAGAAGTTTAATTAATTTATAACACTTAATAACTATATTATACTAAATATATGCATATAATCTTAAGTATCTTTATTTTTTATTGTAACTGGTATTATTCTGTATAAATATTAATAAATCTATCAATACAATGAGTTTCATTGAGATAATAAGCTTTACTGAGTGTCCATTGATATAAGTCACCAGAGCATAGAGAAATAAATGGTCTTCAATAGCATCATAATGTTATAACAGTAGATAGTATATAAATATTTTTTGGTCATTATTAGATTAATTAAATTAGTTACAGTCCTTTTTTTTGTTTATTAAACCAATTACAGTTTACTCTAAATATGTAAAATGCAATATAATGCTCACAGTTGAGATTTTGGTAAATTATTTCATATTGGAATAAGTAAATATTGTTCATTTATAGTAGTAATAAAAGAAAATATAGAGTTTAGCAATTCTAACATGACTTTTTATCAGACTTCAATACGTCTATTAATTCGGCATCAAATAATTTTTATCTGTATAGGATTCGTAAATTTTATGAAATTACCGTTTAAGGTAATTGATGGGTTGCCTTTGATTAATGTAAATAAGTATTTGAGAGAATTTGTAAATCAGAATGCTTGCTTGTATGTATTATATGTATACTGTAATTATTTGTTTTATATTTAACAGTGATGGCATAAAAAAATATACTAATTTGGTAAAATTATAAAATTATCTCATTTGAATCTGAATCATATATATCATTATTTTTGATACATTTTGTTGGTGAGGGATGAGAAAGATGGTGTAATAATAACTTATAAAAAAGAAATACTTTGTTTGAATGTGTTTAATTATATATAGATAAACAATTTGTTTTAATTTATGCAAGTCTTATAAATATTTTAATTGGTATTAACATATTGTATACCATACTTTGATATTTAAATATGTAATAACTAATATAATTATGCAATAAAATTATTAGATGGTTTGATACTTTGATTATTTGAGAATAAAATGAAAAGAAAAAAAGAAGAAAAGGGGAAAAGGAAAAGGGGGGATAATTAGTTGAATCATGAATTTTGAACTATTTATATTTTAAAATTAATAGCCAATAAAACACTTTACCATGATAAGTGACATCAAGACGGAATCTGCCACATAACGTAAAGTTCAAAGCCAACACACAGCCGCAAACATATGATGTAATATTAACGATTCTAAGTAAAATATGATAAATTAACCTAAAGTTTTTAATTTAAGTACTTTATTAAATCTTCATTAGAATTATAATAACTAAATATTGACACTATTTTGTTTTAAAATTAAAAATTCAGAACGTATTCCTAATTAAAATAAATTATTTCATCATCTCAAATCTCGATTACTTTACTTTTATTACTCTATAAAAAGAAGCATCCAATCATAAAATGTACCTTAAAATTAATTAGAAATGTCGGGAATATTCCAGAAATATTCCCATGAATTTGTAATATATAATGTGCATTAGACACTGGGACACATTAGATAACATAAGAGATTCGTTTAATATTGTCTAATAAATTTGTTATAATAATTTTAATATAGTATTTTCTAATTACAAAACAAATTTCTATAAAAAATCATCAGATTATAACCTAATATCATCAGTTGATTATTTAATAGACTGAATTGTGGAAGAAATGTGATTTCAATATATAAGTAAATGAGATATTATTGAAATAACGATTGCGCATCCATCCATTCTATTGTGTTATTTTAATTATATATATATATATATACGATATTTGAATAAGTTCATAAACTACCTAGTACCTAACTAGCTTATTATAACAATAATTTCCGCATCAAGCCACGTAGCAAGTTATTTAATTTTAAATATATTTAAAACTATATATATTGAATTAGAATAATAATCCTTTATGTCTGTCCATGTTATTATTAATATTATGCACTTTTTTTTATTTACCGATAAAACTTTTATTAAACATAAAACATGAAAAAGTCTTTGATTATTTAATTGCGCTGTAAGAGAAAAAAAATTAATATGGCTGTGGTCGGTATAACGGTATTCTACCCGTGAAGGCGAAGTAAATCTGAATCACATCATAGTTTTGATCACATGCAAATCATGATATCTCTGTGTAACACGATTAGAATATTTTTTATTTGTGTCTCTGATTGATTTAAAATTTAGGTGGTTTTTGAACTAATTCTCAGTAGAATTTTGAGCCCGGAATTATTTACTGTTTTAAAAAATCTAATCAGAGCAGCTCTCGTGCCGCTCAAATGTTAGTAACTATTTTTTTAAAAAAAAAATCCTTATTGACCTGAACAAATTTAACTTTGACACCCTACGTTCCCATCTATAGATTTAAACGATATTACTCATACTTATCAGTTAAAAAAACTAAGTATTAAAAATAAACAAGTTAACGTTAAACATGGCAAGGAACTATAATCATAATATTATTAGAACTGTAATAATTCTGACTTTTTTTAATTAAGTTGGTTTATACTACCATACAGTATTATAATTATGATACATAGTTTTTAAGATTTAAAGAGAATTTCTAAATTTTAACCAGTGGAAAAATTACTGGTAGATCATGGTGTATTAAATATTCATGTGATTTATTATGACGATGCAATTTCATTTGGCTCGCTTTGCTCGCCGGGGTTTTTCTAGCCAAGTCATAACTTTCATTTTATTTCAAAATTTTTCATTATATAACATGTCTATAAAAAAAATGAGAAATTACTCTTAACTAGCTATTAACATAATTTTTTTTATTTAGTAAAGGTCTAAAGGATGATCATTTTCGGTTTATTTTGCTTGTTAATCATTTTAAGCTTAATTATCTGATTGTTATTTATTTTTTGGTTCAAAAAATAAAAAAAAAAATATGTATCTGAATTTATTGTTTTATTAATTTCATTAAAAATTTTTGTTTATTTATTATTTATTATTTGATTTTCAGAAATTGCGCTTCAATTAGAATTTCCAACGAAGAAAATGAACGTGATTTTAAACATTGTCAGCAAAGTGTTGATATTTGACTTTCTTTTACTATTTAGATTTCCGAATTAGAGTTTCAAACCAGAGTTATTTTAACCTGTAAAATATCCAGATTCCTCGAATCATGAAACGCGAAGGAACTGAATCGGATCTTCGGATTTATTTATATATCCGGTTCCCTCGTTGCATCCAGATTCATTATATCCGGTTCTTCATTTGGTATCCGGATTTTGACGAAGTCTATTTCACCGAAACCTATTTCGCCAAAGGAATATTTCACTGAAGGGATATTTCGCCAAAAAGATTTTCGCTGAAAGGACGTCTCGCCGAAATACCATTTCACCAAAACCCCATTTCGCCGAAAAATTATTTATTCCATTTGGTTATTTTATTGTTTTTATACTAAATACATAAAAGTTGAATTAGTTAATTTTTATTAAATTTATCTCGTTTGTTTTTATAACATATTAATAGACTTTTTTTACTTACTTTTTCGTGAATAAATGTTTTCAGGAAATAAAGTTATCAATTAATATCAGCTACTTGAATGTTAAAGTGATAATACCCTGGAAAAAAAAAAAGTTTTAATTTTATTTTCATTGCGCGATGAATATTTTTTTATTAAAATGTTAATCGCTACCGTTTTCAGCATAATGGCACTTTCGGCAAAACATCCTTTCGGCGAAATGTCCCTTCGGTGAAACGTCCTTCGGTGAAACGTCCCTTTGGTGAAATATCCCTTCGGTGAGGCGATTAAATGTACTGTAACCCTAAATTATTAAAACATTACGATATCAAACTTAGAGTTTTGTTTCAATTATGACAATTTTTATAATAAGGCAATTATATCACGAATTTATGTATTATAATATTATTATTATATTAAAAAAAGATATATTATAATTATTGGCAGGTTATAAAATACAATATAAATACAATTTCACTACGTCTGTATAATATAAAAACAACCAATTGTAACCTGTGCATGTAGTATTAAATCTTATAGCCGTCAACGTAATTTTGATGGAGGGCGGTGCTCATCTTATAATGCCTTAACTCCGACCGATTTCATAATCATATCTACTAAAACGTTTTATTATACTGTATGATGTATGAAGATAAAATACGTAATACAATTTCAAATTCTTTATTTTTTTTAAAAAAAAAAAAAGAAAATGAATTGAGAAGAATATTTTATTAAATTTGTTCATATTACGGTAACTATTTTCCTTTGACAAGATACCTCCCTTATTTTTTTTTAAAAAAAAATATAAACAAAAAATGACATGACCAGATGACCAATTCTAAAATGCCAAGCATACATCGGAGTTCTTAAAAAATATAATCTTTTATTCTTTTATAATAGTTATTAATTAAAAACATAATAAATTGATCAACCTATTAAGGATTTTGAAAATCTTTTTTTTGTATGCAAAATTCATTATTCGTTTATTTGATATGTTTCATATATGGTTGTACCAATTAGGTTTAATAAGCGCATATTTCAATAATAATGAAAAATTTTTAAATCATTGTTGGTTATTCCTTATTTAGAATTTCATAATTAAAAAAATTAAAAAAAACTTCCGAAGTACGCCCTCGATGATCATCACATTGTTATGTTGTACTACTTTAAATTGCTTCACGTGATATACGAATTTGTTATTTTTAAAAAAAAAACTTCCTTGTTAAATTCTATTAAATTTTATTGCTACACGAAATTTAACAAACAAAAATATACCAATTAAAATTTAGGATAAAGTGTATTACAATTTAATAACAATAGGTTTGAACCAATCATACAAGGAAACATTCCCGGAATAATTTTATACGTCCACAAATAAGATATATAAAATTTTGTTTGGATAATTTGGCAAATATTTATACATAAATAAATTAATCGGTAAAGCTATCGATGATCACTTAATCTATTATTAATGAACAATAGAACAAAGTAATTTAATTAATTTACGTATAACCATTTTTGGTTATTTTTCATAGTTTGCAAAATTATTTGTATTAGTCATAAAACTCAGAACACTGTAGACGGGTAATTTCCCTGATGTTATGATGAAATTTCATTAACCGTTTTATCGTAAAAATAGATATATAAGCGCCTAAATTTATTTCATGTTTTTTTTCAAAAAAAAAAAATTAAATAAAATATAATAAAATAAAAATATCCCCCATTATTTAGAAAAAACTTTTTAAAATTGTTAAAATGGTAGAAATCAAATTTCAAGTGCAGTCCTTGGCAACATCTCTAATTAAGAGATTAAATAGGGAAAATATTTTCCCCCCATTACTTAATGATCCTGAATCATTCGTTGCTCCGACTGGATCAAGAGCAAAAAGGCCTTTTAATTCATTCTTAATATTCAGACGAAATGTTTGCAAAGAGGCGAACAGAAAAGGAACCCGTAATATGCGTGTAATAAGCAAAGCAGCCGGTGTATTATGGAATGATGCAACCCCTGAAGAAAAAAAAGAATATAAAACGCTAGCCAAACGCGTTCATGAAATTCATGAGTTAAGAAATACAACTTCGTTTAAAATTGAATTAACAGGCCAACCTCCGAAAGCACCATCTATTTCTCGTCCACTACCTTTACCCTTTCCATCCTCCATGCTATCCTCTATGCTCGAAACACTTCCAAATTCTGATCAGTCAAATACTACAGGCACGCTTTTTAATAATGATAATAAAATTATCATATTTAATTATAAGGATCCTGATGGGGAATTTCACATTCTTCCATACGATGGATTCAATCATCTGGAATAGTTTTATAATAGTTTTCCTTTAGTTTGAAAATTTTATTCATTTATCAATTTTATTCATTTATCAATTTTATTCATTTACCAATTTTATTTTTTACTCACTAAATAAGTTGTTCACAATAATTATTAATTCTTTCTATAAAATGTACTGAATAAATTTTTATATTTTTTATCTCATTGGGAACATTTGCTGGCCGAGTGGAGTGCTTTACTGGGAATGTTTTATGTTTACGTAAAATCTAAATTCCATAATAAAACATCGATCCCTATGAGGGTAAATTATAAAAAAATAAAAACAAGATAAATTTTATAATTATAAATTACAGAATTTAAAAAGTTTACGATTATTAAAAGTATTTAATAATATATTATAGTATGCGAGCAATACCACTTATTTTTACATGGTTTAATGGGACGACTGGACGTAACAAAATTTTAGCCGATCACCCATTAATCATGTGATATTGCTCGCGTGCTATAATATTATTATCGTGCGACGATACAGTTTTTTTTGGAAAAAAACATTGATATATCAAAATATTGATAATGCGGGCCAAATCTAGTTCTTGCCAGCATTATGGTTAACTTTTTAGCCAACCAATAATAATTTCAAAACTCATATGATCGTTAACTCAGCCAAACTTACGGTGCTGGGCAAAATTAAGTATCAAGGTAACCAAAATATCAGTATATTTTGTTATACATTACTATAAAGGGACAAGGGAATTGTATCGATATATGTTATATCGTGAAATTATATATAATATGAGGTTTAGTTGCGAAACGGGATAAAGGAAATTCATCGGTATAATAATTAGAATTTTAGATTACATAGTTAAGTAATAGATTTTTAATTTTATTTTATTTTATTTTCTCTGTGGTTAAATAATTATGTAAGCTTTTATTATAATTGATTATAATTAATAAACGCGTTACTAATTTAAAAAAAAAAAATCATCGGTATATGTCAATTATCGGTATATAAACTATCGGTATATCGAGGTTAGACTGTACTACCTATCTTGATAAATTCTTAATGTTAAAGATATACGATTTTCAATGATCCCCCTTATGTTTTAACTTTACGTCGGCGGACACATTATTGATTTTAATACAATGTCTCTATTTCCTTATTTCTCAAATGCGTTCCATATTGAATCTTCTTTGTAAAGCTAATATCTACATTTATTATAATTATGTATTTTTTTAATTAAAAAAAAATGGATAATAGTAACATTCTTACTTCACGCGCTTTATCTTCAATTCACGTCTTGCTCATCTTCTAATTTTAATTTTAGTATCCCTATGACCAAACGTGTACAATAAACCAATAAAAAAAGTCAGTTATTCAATCCTTATAAAAAAAAAATGTACGGAAATTGCCATCAGAAAATGTCTAGGAGGCTCGGTCTGGTGTCCGAAAAGTGTCCGGAATATTGCAATTTTCCGGACATCTTTCATTTTCCGGACACTCTCGACGACAATTTCCGGATATTCTATTTTTATAGGGCAAAATAAATGCAATTAATGCGAAAGAAATCAATATAATTGGAGAGAAGGCAACAAACAAATCAGAAAAAAATTATAAGTAGTAGGTCAGACCAAAAAAAAAAATACATCGCAAGTAGGATGCGTGCGCAAAAACAAAACGAAATAATTGTCGACGACAATTAATAATGAAAAAATAATAAGTAGGAATTAATATAAATTACTCAAAGTTGTAATATTGGTGTCGCTTTCTTCTGACATTTGAGACGTAATTTTATCATTAAAATAAATTTAATTTATATATATATAACGCTTGTTAAATTAATGAGAATTACAATATTATCACGTTGATTACAATTAACAAAATTTATTTGATTAAAAAGATAAATAAAAATTAGTTCTATTCTCTATTATTTTCTATTCTCGTCTTTATATTATAAAAATAAATAAATAAAAATAAAAACTTAATTAAATAAATAAAAAGTACAAATCGTGGGTAAATTTAAAGGAAAAAACTTAATTTCTTTGAATGAAATAAACCATAAGTTCTAAAAACAAGGGTTTCGCAGGTGATTATTTATGACACCCGCTAGATGTTAAATATTTGGTTTGTTCATTCACATAATTTTTAATTTAAAAAAAAACGCGGTTTTCATTCTCTGGCATTATCCATTAATACTAAGTTTGGTTTCACAATTATTTCCTGGCATCTATTAATATTAGTTTATCATTAGTTGTTAAAAAAAAAATTGGTTCTTTAAATCGGATTCAGCTTTGGATTAAGGTCAATTAAGTATCTTCGCCCTCTATTAATGAATGTTGAAATCTTTTTTGTAAATTAAAAGGGAAAGGAAGTTTGTTAAAGTTTATAATTACATTGTAAAGTGATAAATGAGAAAATAGTCACTTACAGATATAGTTGATTCTAATTTCTAAGCACTAGATTGTTTGAATAGATTTAATTAACGTTAAGAATTCGATTGTTGAATAGGTTAAATTTGAGTTTGGTTGATTCTAAGCAATTGGCTGTCGAATGGTTGTTTTGATTGATTCTAATGGTGTTTGGTTGATTCTAGTATTCGATAAGTTATCAATCAGGTTACTACCTTCCTTTCGGTAACTTATTATTCATTCTATAATACTCTGACTCGCTGTAAAAATAAAAAAAAAATATGTATCAAAATGATTGGAATAATTAATTGTTATCGCCAAACAACTTCTTACCAGAGGAAACTCGCGAATGAAGAGCTTAAAGAGAATTCAATGAATTGGGGCCCATTATATAGACCTTGGCAGTAAATAAATTAATGATAAAAAACTTGTTTTTTGAAAAAAGAGGCTTACAGACATGCTGCATCATTAAGAAGAGATCATAGTAAGTGGATTCATAAAAAGATTTTAAATGAAACTTTGCAGACGGGAAGCGAGATATTGAGACATCCCATAATTAGCCCCAAAAAGCCTTCAAAAGCCAATCTATAACTGCGACCATGCTGGCTTGTCGTAAATTTTACTGCACTTGTGACTATGAGCGAATTATTCTACTATTCAATCAACATAACCGGGAAGATCCTTGGGCAGTGCTAGCATAGACGACAACCAAGAAACAGCTAAGGACTAACAAGCCAGAAATTTACATAGATGTAATCTGGTTACGAATCGGTTGAACGATTATATTTGTATAGATAAACAAGTTATACACTAGAATCAAAAATGATCAGCCCTAACGGTTGATCATTTATACCCGTAATACGCCACAATTTCACATAAATCAATGAATAATGTAAATCTTTTGATTGATATGATAAATTTCATGTGAAGATCAGATATTTTTAAAATAGAATCTTCTTAGACTAATTATTTATATTACTTATATTATAAAGGATAGTTTCCTTGTTTTATCCATGTCTTGTTTACTTCTTCGAGGAATTTAAAAGACCTGTTCCATGCGTGCTGCACTTAAAGCTGTTGTTCCCGTTTTTTAAAAAGGTATTAACGATATGTAAGGAACAATGATTCATCCGTACTGGGAAAAATCAGATTGCGCATTTCTGCAGAGTCTGTTTCTGCGCAAATCTGAGGACATGCCGTTACGCGTCACAAAAAATTAAAAGAATTTCTGCGCAGATCTGTAAGCAAAAAGTTCTCAAAAATGATTCTGCGAAATTCTTTAACAATTTTATTTAATTATTGTAATTGTTTATTTACTATCTCATTATATAGTAAGTGCAATCATGTATTTTAATTAGTATTTCACAATTTGTGAGCAATAGTAAAAAATAATAGGATGAACTCGCCATTTCATTCACTTAAGATTTTGAAATAGAAACCTACAGAAAAATAACAAACTGCGTTAACACGATCTCACTTTCAGTCCTTCAAAGAAGTTGGAATCCTGAAAATCCTGCAAAAAGAAACTGAAATGTTAGTATCATTTCGTTAAAAAACCTAAATAATAAGAAGGAAGATACAATATAAATTTTCGAAGTCATACCTAATTTCAAAGAAAATAATATACCTTCAAAAATGGCGTCCAAGTCCAGGAAGCTGACTGACTGTAAGAAAAGCAGAGAAAATGCGAAATGCCAACTAGTGTTTCGTTTTAACAAAAGAACTAAAAATTAAAAAAAATTGAAGTGCTCAAAAAGCGTCTAAAAAGCCGTATACGAACCTACAAAAGAGAAAATCGAAATGCATTACATTTCGTTATAAAAAACTTTTTTTGAAAGTAAATACCTTCGAAATTCTATACATTCCATCCAATTTTGATTTAATTGTAAGTCCTAAAGAGGAAAATGAAATAAGACATTTTCTTAAAAAATAAAAAAAGCAAATATCTGTAAAAAATATGTCGAATTCGACGAACTTACCAATTATGTTCGTTCAAGATTTCGAAATCTTAAAACCTAAATAAAGAATAAACGAAGCGTTAATAAACATTTCGATAAAAAAATTAAAGAAAAATCAATTCGAAGATTCTACCAGAGTTCAGAACAAAAAAACAAAACGAAGTTGTTAGCTAACGTTTGATTCAGTAAAATAACAAAAATTATTAACTTCGAAGTTTCAATACCTTCGAAACGTTGAAATAGCATCCCGCGTTCCAAATAGAATTTCGAAAGTTTATCTTCGAAATAGGAATCAAGTACCTGTTTTCGGCTTCTTTTGTAAAGTTTTATCCTCATTAAATCCAACGTCTGAAACCTATAAAAAGAATGAAGTGGCAATTAATAACGTTTCATATAAAAAAATTTCGAATTAGTAATACCTTCAAAATCTTTCATAAGCTTACTGTCCAAAGATCGGCCAAAACCTGGAAAAGATGAAACGTTAGTTACTAACGCCTATTTATTAAAAAAGATACAAATAAAAAAAGACTATTTACCTCCGAATATCGAATGAAATTGTGTGGTTCGATTAGTTAACTTCAAAATTATTCACCTTTTTTAGATATATTTACACAGGTGAACTTAACTTAAAAAACATCTAGGCGAAATTAATTTTTTTTTTTTGAGCTATAAAATTAACTGAAAACAACTTAATCAAATAATAAAATTAGTATCTTACCTTAGAACTATATCAAAACGGGTAAAGTAATATAGTAATATTTGATTTACTAAACATAATCATGTGATAAAAGTGCCCTTTTAAAGTATCAAAAGACGGAAAATTACCAAGTGCTTTTCGCCAACTCGCATGAAATACAACAAATAGAAATAAATTAGGGAAAGGTTTTTTTTGATCATTTAAACTTACTGTATTTTCAAGAGAATAAATTTTTGTAATTTAATCTGACAGCTCTGTAAATATAGTAAATGTATTAGCCAATATGTATAGTGTACTACTGTGCCATGGTCTTAAAGAAAATATTTATTGTGGCTGGTAATTATTCTTTATTCTCTATTAAACCATATTGGATTAAGATCATTTTTGCAAACAATAATAAAATTTTCTGATTTGACGGTAAATCTTGAAGGTCTTAAAGGTGGCGCTCCGATCTCTGGTTGATTTATAATTATTTTTTGTTTATTTGTTATTAAGTAATATATATTGTAAAAAAAAAAATAAATAAATAAATAAAAAATAAAAAAAATGTATAATTTTTTCGTCTTGTTTTATTCTCAGTTCAGTTGTTCAATTTTAATCTGGCAAAATCAATCACGTATGTCTCGGTAGTCGGTAGCATCACCAGGAAAAAGATTATAATTGGTACAAGTACGATGCAGATATGGGTACAGTTGCAAGATCGTCACAGGTACAATTCAATTCGTACCAACAGTACCTAGTACCCACAACCCTTCATTTTTAACATAAAATTTTTGTCTTTACATAAAAAATATATACAGTATATATATAAATTTATAAATATAATAAAATTGCAAAATTATTTATCGCAGTTTTCAGAATTCTGTGTACGTTGTGATTTCTGAGTGATTATAATTACAGGACGATTACAGGCGGTAATCGTCCTGTAATCTAATGATTTTTTTATCAGATGACCTATAAGGGGTAGCACAATTTTGAAAAGCGCAATAAATAAGCTCTTTTCCAATGCATGTTACCAAATGTTACATGCGTATATGGCGGCACATGTAAATGTAATTGTAATAGATTACTTTTTATATAATAAGAATACTTTAAATAATGCTTTACTTTATATGGAAAAGCACTGTATTTTTTTTTGTAAATATTCTAATTTAAAAATTATCCTGCATTTTAAAATGAAATTGTATTTAGTATAGCATATATTGTCATTTTTGACACTTCTATGGACTCATATTATATAGATTACTATTATTACTAGATGATTACGGTAAATTCAGTTTATTATCAAATAAGAATATATTAAATTGACAAAATACTATCATCATTAGTTTAGAAAATATTCAAAAATTTTTAATTAATAATAATCTAGAGTTAGAATTAAAATTCTTTCTTAGTTAATATTTTAGAATAATACTTTTAACGTGCAATTATTCTCATTTAACTCAAGAATTATACAGTATAAATGTAAGATGATAATAAACATTGATATTGAAATTGAAGAAAAAAAAGAAAAAAAGGACTTGATGATAATTCCTAAGAATATATATACAGGATATGGAAGCATCATGACTTTAGTAATATGGAACAAGATTTCATTTCCAAAATATCGAACTATAACATAAATTAATCAATAAATACTGTATATCGGTAAAAAAAAAATGTTTTTTCAAATAACTCGAATAAAAAAAAGTTTGATAATAATTTCGATTTATTATAATGTAAAAATTCCACCATGGAACATTCTTTATCCCTAGAAACGATCGGATCCTGCAAAGGAAATACGTGTTCATTTGTACTATGTAAAAATTAAATACAGTAATATGTTCAACATACCGACATGCAAGGAAAATTTCAATTGTTATTAAATATTGTTTAATTACAAAGTTTTTTTTCTTTACTTAGAATTCACATCAATAAGAATATGAAATTGAACTTAAATTAGCAAATCATAATTTTTTTAATCGTAATCTGCTGTAAGTTAAAAAAATCATTCGTTATACAGCTTATATTACATAATATGTAGGAATAGACAATAGAACTAAAAATTTCCTATTAAAATTAGAGAGATATTTTATTAACTCTACTAATGTTCCAATAGAAATAGCCTTACCGTTCATCAAGCTATCACACACATACTATGCTAAAAACTATAAAAGTAAAATATGAAAGTCGATATCAGGTATTAATTATAAATAATAATTTAAATATAAAATATCACAAATATAAAAAGAAATATTTCATGAAATTACAAATAAATAAAAGCTTATATTACTTATATGTCTTATAACTTATATTACTTATATGATAACTTATATTGCTTAAGATTACCCATCATATCAAATGGTCTATATATAATTTTTTTTTTTATAATTTTTACCAATTAAAATAAACGTCATATAATGGTGACTGTGGCTGTTCGTGTTCATTATTTGGAAATAGCTCTGGCAGTGGCGGTAAATAAAATTCTGGGAGCTGATTATCTTCATGTGATAACGGTTGATAATTTATATGTTGAGGCAATGGTTGCGGTAGTATTGTTGACAATTGCGGTTGCAGTTGCGGTTGCAGTTGAACTTGAAGCTGTGGTTGCAGTTGTGGTTGACATAACTCATCTGATAGTTTGTACATGTTCCAGTATTTGTCATGTGAAGATAATGGTTGTGGTTGATAATATTCGTATAATAATTTGGGTTGGTAAGAAACATGTGGTTGGGTCAATGGTGGACGTGGTAATAGTAACGGTAATTTCTTTTTTGATGGTTGTGGTGACGGTTGCGTCGATGGCGATTTTGGGTTTCTTAATTTGAATCTGTGATTCCCTTCTATTGCTAAAATTCTAAAGAACTTTTTTATTTCATCGGACTCCTCTTTCCACATTTTATTTAATAAATTTTTAGATATACTACCGCGACCCTTTTTATTAGGCTGCGCCAATACATTTCGTAGATACAAATTATACGAATTATTATTGTATCTATCTCGTAATAAATCATCAATCTTCATATTTAATTTACATGGCGGATTATTCTTTACTTTTAAAAATTCTTTGTGATTTAAAGTATTTTTGGTTTCTTTCATTATTTTTTTAAGAATTTTATGAAGATATTTATTTAGGTAAAGAAATTCTTAAAAATGAATAATTGTTTTGATATCGTATTTATATGTAATTTTTTTTTTCAGATCTAGAAAAGAAGCCTCATATTTTAGGGGTATGAAATTTGCAGATGTAACATTATAAATACTTTTTTTGGATTAAATTTTAATAGGTTGAAATCCGAAACTCCGGTGTATTAAATTAAATTAAATTATATAAATAAATTTTTAAACAACAGAATCTTTATCGATAATATAAATATACAATATATACAATATATACAAAAAAGGAGGACTAGGGTTAAGTCAAAATAAATGCGCTATCCAGTAAATTTGTACGAATCAATATTTCTTTGTTTAAAGAACCAATCATTTCATTTAAAAAACTTTAGAAGGTTCTACAAAAAGTTTTTTCTAACGTATTTTGCGATTCGAAGCATGATAAATAATAATGTGCTTAACCTATATTGATCCTTAATAAGAAAAATATGAACTTTGGCATTTTCGGGATTCCGGAGGAAAAAAAAATTTAACAAAAACGTAAATAGCCAGTCATTTCTCACATATTTTGGTGTTTTCTGAAGGTCTTACAAAATTTTAATTTTTTTGAAACCCTGTATTTTCAAAGGGATATATTTTGATGTAATTGCATTTCGCTGTAGAAATAACATACAAATTTATTTAATTTATTACGTTATACCGTGCATAATCTATAAATCTTATTTATTAAATAACTTGTACAATTCCTAATTAAGTAGTCCCTGATCTAAAAATAAAAGCCTTCTTTCTTTTTGATATAAAATATATTATTGGAGAGATTTTATATGATGATGTAAATTTTGCCAAAAATAGAAAATTATGTTGAATCCAGATTTGTAAAACTATCATGCACTGCGCCAAAATTACGATTGATTTGCGTTGAGTCCAAATTTATTATTATTGATTGCGTGCGTTGAGTCCAAATTTATTATGATTGATTGCGTGCGTTGAGTCCAAATTTATTACGATTGATTTGCGTGCGTTGAGTCCAAATTTGTAAACATCACAAAGTACCTTAAATGTGAATACACAATTTCATGTAGTTTACACATTAATATAAAAGCTTACCCCTGATACCCCATAAGATATGTTATATAATTCCTTATATAATATTGTATGCCTAAGATCTTTAGTTCCCCCCCCCCCCTCCCCCTAAAATATTGGGTAATATCTGACAGCACCTAAGTAATTTACACATTAATAAAAAATTGTGTAAATACACAATTTTGAGTAATTTACATATAATTATATTGGTCAAAATATTCTTAGTATTTTGTATTTTAAAAAATTACATGTATTTTATATAAATAGAAAATTTCGGCAATTTACACCTTAAAAAATTGTGTAAATACACGATTTTATGTAATTAAAACCTAATTTTTATTATAAAAATTAGAATAAATATAATATGTAAAATTAAAAAAAAAAAGTTAAATAGTATATAGTGGGTATACTATATTATAACTGAGGTATTAAATGTTCAGTTCTAATTAATTTTGTTAAAAAATACGGAATTTTTTGTTATTAAAAAAATGCGAGAATTTTCATTATTAAGTAATATTCGCAAATTTGCAGCTTCGTATATACCTGTAGCCTGTAGGTGGTGTGATTCAACGTGTTTTTTTATATGTGTATAGTTTTGCAAATTCACACCCTATTGATGCAGGTTAAAATGGAGGGAAATTTTGGAAGATTACGACTTAGTAATATTTGAAAAAAGAGAACCTGTACAGACAAGTGAATAATGCTAACGAAGATGCTCCCTTACTTGGGAATTGTTTCGCAATGCCTAATACAGTAATTGTATTTCGTTCATAAACAGCAGCTGCAACAACTGATTCAACGGAAAGTGATATATTTATTTTTATAATAATTTTTTTGGAGTTCTATATATTAAACATAGCTTTAAATCGTGAAACTTATAATTGTATTATTTTAATTAATTTGCAAAACTAAAAATTCATATTACAAATAAAAAATCGTGCAGAATAAAAGAAGCCGAATTAGCAAAATCGAATTCCCTCAAAGAAAATGAATTTGCTCTACTGAGCCTTTATTATTTAGACATAAACCAACTAAAATACCTCATAATCTTTAAATTGAAAGGCACCTGGTTTATTTCTTAGTTTGATCTCGTACGAATCCTGCCGCCGATGATGATGAAGACGTTATGATTTTATTAAACGTGCACAGCATTCCAACATAATCATATTCTTCAATTGATAAACCATCTATTTGTAAAAACTTGATCAATTGCTCTTCAGAAAATTTATTGAAATGATCTAAGTTGAGAAAGCATTTTGTGTCTTTACAGATCAAATAGATAACTAACGGTTGTAGTTGTTGTAAAGATGGTCATCGGTCCTACAGGTCCTACTCGGTCCTGGACCGGTCGGTCCCAGGACTTGTAGGACCGGACCGCGGTCTTTCATTTTTTCTTGGCGCAGTAGGACCGGTCCTGAGACTGACCTGGTCTTTGTATCGGTCTTTATATAAAAGTTATTACATGCATATTGAAACTTCTAGAAAAGACTGTCTCCCTGTCTCCAAGGAAAAAAAGAAAATTAACGTTAATAAAGTATAGTAAATCCGTCTTAATACATGTTGTTTGCTTATAATATACGTCTGGAATGGTTCCTATAAATTTATATAATTAGTGTTCATTTATAAAGGAAGACTGTTCCAGTAAAGTAATAAAAGAAAAAAGAAAAAAGAATGATCGGTCTTAAAAAGACTGCAGTCCTTAAAAGGACCGTCGGTCTTATTGTACGTGTTACAGGACCGAAAGACCGCGGTCCTACATCAAGACGGACCGGTCCGTCTTTTTAAGGTGTAGGACCGCGAGACCGTGGTCTTTTAGGACCGATGACCATCTTTAAGTTGTTGAGAATCTTCGTTATCAAATGTTCAGTAAAAATGTTTTCGTAGATCCAACTTGATCGAGCTTCGATAAAGGTACGATTGAAGATATTCGATCATGTCAGTTAGTTGGAAACGTTTGACAATAATGCTGATTACCCTTTTCACGTTGCTTGGCTTTAATTAAGTTCAACAAAGACAATGGATCCAAGTTCGTTGCGGCTTTCATCAGGGTTAAGAAAATCATCAATGAATCCATGGTCAAAACATTAATTTCGTTACCATAGATAAACTAGGATAAAAAAAACAATAATTATTATAATAACTTAGTCTAAATGTTAAATAAATATTGAGAGACAATTAATAGTTACCTTAAGATTCTGTCAAATATTTCAAAAGTACTGTATATTCGGAAAATTTAAAAGTTTGTAATTTACTATATAACTTTCAAAACAAAAGAACGACCAATCATTCTTCTAAGAGGTTTCCGGCCCACAATAAAAATAACATCATAATCAGTATTATTTTTACGTTATATCTTGAGTGAATTTTTAATTTAAGGGTAATGGAATTCATGCTCATAACGTTAAATATAAGAAAGAGGGAATTTTCCACTGACGGACGTGTAAAACGAAAAAAAAATTAAATGAAATGTATTTATTTACGCATATTATAATTGTCAATTGCACGATATATATATATATATTATTTCTTTTTTCAAGAAAAAGAAGTATTATTAACCTAATAATTAATATACAAGTGGCATGGGATAAAAGTCTTGATTTCTCATGATCAACTTAAAAAAAAGGACTAAAAACGAATGTTCTATATTTTTTACTTGGGCGAATTTGCAATTTGACAATGTATTCATATATTAACTATTTTTAGAATTTTTACATATAATGACATATAACGTTATCAGTTATTATTGTTCAAAAAATCAAAGAATAGAAAGTGTTAAATTTATTTATACGATACAAAATATTATACTCGTAGAACAATATAATTTGACTACTAATTACTGTCAAAATAGTAACGAAATGCGAAACTTATTTTTGTTACACAAAAAATGTGATCAAATTTGCCTAAGATTATCAATAGTGAAGTTTTTCCGGAATCTTCAAAATTCCGCAGGTGCTTGAGTTCGCCACTTACCATAATCTTTGACGTGCGTAGATTGGAGAGCTGGATTTTCTTCTTCTTTTTCTTAATGTTTTATTTTATCTTTATACAAATTGATACATCTTTTAATAATGCTAAATACCGATCTAAAAAAAAAAAAAAATCCGCAGGTGCATTGATCAACATGATTTACTTTACTTTATGGTCAATTAAACCGGAAATTAGCATGCAAAACAATATAAAAACTCCGAATCTCCCATTTTTTATTTTCCTATCACTTTCAACTTTTTACTTCAAATTTAATAAATTTAATGAACTTAATCATGCACCAGAAGCAAATTGTACAAATGTAGTTTTCAAACAAAGATTTTTTTTTTAATTTTATTTAAATAATTTACCTAATAATGAGGAAGCGATAATTTACGAAATGATTAAACACCTTAGCAACCAGCAATAACTCCAATAATGATAAATGGTTTTGAGTAGAGCAACAAGTTTACAAGTATATCAAATACAATTGATAGCCACTACAAAGCTTTAAAAAATTTAAAAGCTCAAATACGTGGAAACTAACGAAGAATATGGAACGCTTTGCAGCTAGATATTAACGATGAACAGAATGATAATGTTGATTATATTGAAGAAATTAAGGAGAATATTAGAGAAAGAGGCAAAGGTAGAGAGAGGTATAGGTAGATGGATGGGCCATAATTGTATTGGTAGGAATACATGTGATAAACTGCCTTCTCCCATGACGAAATTATTTGCCCGAGAATATCGTCTGCTTACTATGAATATACCATGAGCCCTTACTTATAACCACCATATAATATACATATCCTGTTCAGCGAGCTTTTGCCGCGTCATTAAGAATAATGCGTTCCATGCTAGGCCAAGAGTTGAGTAGTAGAACTAGAGGTCGACTGTTTGAATGTTATGACGACGGTCATAATAAATTGGCAAATATGGTTTTTCTCACATGGCAACGAAAATGAACAAATTATACAATCTTCATCTCCACTTTCTTTACTTTCTTTTAATATCTACAACATCCTAAGCACTTAAATGAATTTACAATAAATTCATTATCAACTTAATTTATCAACGCCCTATTCGATTCGATTTTTGGTCATTTTTTTTCTTTAGAACAAATTAAATAATTGTTAGCAATACCAATATAGAGAAATAATATGGAAAGATTTTAACAAGAATTTAAAATTTTGCTGGAAACATTGATATAGTATATGCTGGTATTTTCAAATTACAAATTGATAGGTAGTATTAATTAGGTTCTAAGTTAATATTTTATTAAATTCATATTCATTTAGCTAATTTGAAAATTTATTTTTATTAATAAAAATCTAGACAAATGTTACGTGCATATTTCCGATTGCACAACTTCTTTCACATTCTGATATTCCGTTTAGCAACTCACATTTAAACAGTTTTCATTATTTTATCATCTTCAAATATATCAATTAATGAAATTATATGCAAAATTTTCTGGAAAAAGCGCTCAAACGTAAGAATTAAGGATCAAATCATAACATATAGCAAAAATCTTCCTCCGTGATGCTGATTATATAAGAACAATTTAACAAATATCAAATTTAATAAATGGGAAATTAAGTATATTAGTTTCTCAATTACCAAAAAAAAAAAAAATTCAAAAAAAAAATTAGGAGAAAGCATCAAGAAATTTTCACGATCACAATAAATGATTAGAAAACATTATCAAAAATCACAACGTACTTCAATCACAAACGGCCACGCTCGAACAAAGGCGTATCCAATTTCTCGGTAATGCAATTAACCATGGACAAAATTAGATTTTATCGTCCAACAATTCCACACAAACTTTATACCACCGGGTACATCTACTTAATCACAGACCATGCAACGTAACAATCCAAATCCAATCACATACACAAACACTAATAATACTATCTCCACTAATGGGACAGCGACTTTCATTGATGAAAGTCATTTATATTATAACGATCAGAGTCATCAGATGTCAACGTTAACTCTATACGGAAAATCTACAACACTTTCAACAACGACAACGAAATGTATGATATCAACAATGAAGACAACAGCTACTGTAAATGGCATTGTAGAACCACAACAAAATACAGCTCAAATCGACACATCTTCAAACAATAGCACCTGGGTCTCATGCCTCTTCGGCAGATAAATTCTCACCTCGACTCACATTTTGGACTTCTTACTGTAAATCCTTTTTGATTTTAACCCAACTCTGATAACAACGGTACGAGTGCGATTCTTTCAAATAACCAAAGTTCACATTTTCCTATTTTTAATATAAATAGTTTTATCTCTCATTTAAATTCCCAACCTTTCTTTAGCATCTGATCTCATAATATTCAAGGCGCTTTGCTTGACAAACGTCATTCACATATGTGATTATATGATCGAAAATAATTGTCATTTTTTTGCACCCTTTGACCCTAATTCTGATTAAATTTCATATCCTTAATAACCCTAGCCCTTCAAACAGCGCTAGTCGTAATTGTCTTGTACTTTCAGATCAACTTTTTAGACACTACCACAAAATTATTTTTATACCTGGTCGATACATACATATCAATTTTTTTTTTCAAAAGATCGATTCAAATTCATATCATTGCGATATACATAATACATCCCTCCAAAAAATTCTAAATCATCGGAAAATACCTCCAAATACTAACTGCATTTACAACCAATTAGACTAACATATCAAACAAGCAAAAAATCACGCTAATATCAAAACGATCATTATAGGGGACTTCAACATAGAACCGACGAAAACTAATACCACAAACGATTCTACGTCAACAAACAAATCTCACAAAGATATTTTTCATTTATTAAAGACACAATTATTTAGACGCACTCAAGAAATTCAATCCATCAATTATCAGCACGTGGGCTAATTCTCGCGGACATAATTCTTACATAGACCCCATTTTCATTTCACAAACTTTATTTTTTCAACACTTTTTTGCTAATATCAACAAAACTTTACCTCTGATCACGATATTACCAATATTTTTATATCAAGCGCGATCATAGGCAAAAATCACTGAAAGATGAAAAATTTGAAACCAACACAGACAATCTCAGATTTAACGACAAGATTAACTTCAAAAAAATCACTCCTGAAATTTGGAATGATTTCCATAATACATTATGGGACGAATATTATTCCAATCCCAACACTACCCGAATTCCTTAGACTTATATCAATAAGGAATTTGAACGAATTCAACAAGCCATTACACATGCTATTAAAAAAGCAAATTTTCCGATCATCAAAAATCAACATAGCGATCGCTATCAATATCCTTATCAGCAGAGTCCTAGAAAACAATTCCAGATTTATAAATAAACAAATTAGATTGATTAATAAAATTTTTCTACCAAAATCCCCTAACATTCCGACACAACCTATATTAGTCTGGAAGAAAACACATCACACAAGATCTACATCAGAATTTCAATTGGCCACAAAACATTAATTTATCACATTTCTCACACATTTTACAAATTTGAATTTTTTACAAACATCGATTGAAACTAACCTTAAAAAAGAAAAAGAAAAATATGATATAAAAATAATCTCCTTAACCGAAGCCCAAAGAAAATTATAATCGACCGCCTTGTCTTCGAAGATGAAGAAGGCACACTTTTCTTTACGCAATATCAACAGGAATCGAACGCCGCACATCGATCATTACAAAAATATCGGCAAAACTGGCAGTTCACCAGATCGATACAACCCATTGCTTCCGATGCCAGAAGCTGGGTTGAATTTTACCGTCCGCGCCAACATATCTGTCAAAAATACAATTGACAAATTTATAATACCTATCACGTTAGATGAATTACTACCAATCATAAAAGACTTACCTATCAACAAAGCTGCAGGACCCTCCAACATCAGCTATGAAATTATTAAACATCTACCTTCAAATTTTTTAATTATTATAGTAGATCTTTTTAACGCAATTTTACAACACGGATACATTCCGTCGCAATGAAATACCGCACATCTATATCCAATTCCGAAACCAACATGATAGAACTATGATATTCAACATACGCGTCCCATCATTTTACTGGATTGTTTTAGAAAACTCATGGTCAAAATCTTCAATCAAAGACTAAATTCGTATTTAGCCATTACCAATATTCTACAACCAAACAACTTCGCCGGAGTCCATTGATCTTCGACAAATGAAATTATTCTAAAGATTAAAACAATCCTAGATCACCAGAAATCTACAAACAAACACTCCACATTCTACTCCAAGACCTTAGCAAGGCATACGATCGTGCTCTTTTGGAAAAGGCTCTGGGACGAATTAATATTCCAAAACTATTTATAACCTTCATTATTAATCTTTTCTCCAATCACTCAAACAAAATTATACTAAATGAATTGTTATCAGAACCCTATGATCTAGATATAGGCATTATCCAAGGAGAAATCATATCCCCCCTACTTTGGATCATTTACTACGATCCAATGTTCGAGCGTATTAATTCGACTAATGATGGAGGATACACTATGTGCGCAATTATGCCACAAGACTCTCTTTTGAATCTCATCACATGATTAACATCAATACCAAACTCCTAGGATACCTGGATGATCAACATGGTTCTCCAGGATCATCTGAAAATTGCGGATGAATTTTACAATTTCGCAAATATTAAAATCAACAGAGAAAACCAAACTCCTCACAAACGACAAAGACCTATTAACGCTAGACCACTTATCATTACCTTTTTGCTCCGATGACGTCAAAGTCAAAATCATCAAAAAAAATTCAATCCGAAAGAATTCTGGGAGTCTATATTAACATGGATAATTCCCCAACCTTCACTTACAACAAAATCAAGCAGATTATTCGACGTGTTTGCTATAGATTAAAAAAAAGGATTCACCCACGATCACGTTATTTACGTGATAAATAAAGTATTAATCCCCAGAATAGAATACCTCACAAACATTATTTATACCAGCACGTATTTGTAGGCAATTCAATCAAATTATACGCTCGGTATTTAAATCCTCCTTATCACCTCCAAAAAATATTCATAACACGGTACTCCATAACCCTATTTACCACAATATTCTTAACATTTTCGATCACAAGATCCGGGTACAAGCATCGCTCGTTAATGCTCAACTTAATTCTTGCTTAACGAGCGAATTAATCAAATTTTCATTACTTTTCTCGCAGGAAAAATTTTGGACTCTTAATCTTCAAAAAACATTATCCTTTTTTTCTTCCCCTTTAAAAAATTTCAATAGATTAGAATCATTATTGTGTATTTTTCAATATTACGCTTTATCTTTTGATTTCAATTTCTCTCTTAATACGCGAGACCGATCGCTGATTTTATTACTCATCCTACCAAATTTTTTAAATTTCTTATTAGCTTAAAGAAAAAAAGATTATATTTTTAGATCAATTACTCTCCTCAGATGGCCACTTCCTTAAAGCATCTTTTAACAACAAATCTGGTCCAAGGATGGTTTAAATTCCTGTTAGAACACATTGTACAGTACTAAATCCTAACGACCAAGGACTCAACTTCACCATAAAAGACACCATAAAAGACACTAAAATCCGCGTGTCAAAAACATTTTCCTAACATATCCCATACTCCATACGACTATCACAACAAAAAATTGTGGATAGCATGTTGGTCGAATACATCCAAAGATATTGTTTATGGAAAATTACTCACAGCAACTAATTACCCTCAATGTCGAAGGAACAAAATGGCACGCCAAAATCACGTGACACCTATATCATACAATGTCAAGGATGCAACCTACATACGTCTTATTATATGAGCGGTGATTTACGCCCTAAATGTATCATTAATGTTCCTTTGTCTCATACCTTTAAAATTTCAACAATACTCAAACGTACAACCGGTACTACAAATTCGAAGACATGGTATCTAAACGAACCACATATCTACCGTCTTTACTGATTTCCGTATAAGATCTAATTTAATCAATCATGATAATTCTCCAATACATCCTTCAATTAATAATCTTATTTCTATTCAACCAGCGCCGGCGTCAGTCAAATTGAATGCCCTTTTAATCAAGACTTTATTACTTTCAGCTTCGATACATGAAGATTTCATTGACAAATCCACACAACTATCGGACCTCCAAAATCTTGAATTTTATTCAGATGGATCGTTATTTCGACCACTAGACAATTTGACTCCCCTAATGGGTTTTGGCTGCTACTTTCATCGCTAACTGAGTTTTCACGCTCGATTGAACAACTGGGCTAGCTCGAGTAGAGCAGAATGCTTTGCGATCTTCAATATTCTATAATTTGTCCACAACATCATGGTAGCATTATTATTCACACAGATTCACAAGCCACCATTCAAATTTCAATGCACTCTATACACTTCAACTAACTGATAGACGCCTACAGAAAGTCAACAATTGTCATATTTGGCAAGCTATCAAACAAATTATCGATAGATTACAATTTCATGTTACACTCAACAAAGTGAAAGCACATTCAGATAATTTTTTTAACGACCAAGATGATGCATTAGCTAAATAAGGCACACGTAACAACCTTATATGTGATATTAATCGTAATGGTCTTTCCTGTCAACATGATTCGCTCATTTTTAACAAAGAACATGTAATTGACAGGAACATTCGTTCCACTTTAAAGAAACCTTTAGAATATCGTAAACTGGAACAACATTTATCTCATGAATCGTTACATCTCATACGAAAATTAACTTTTGATTGAACTAGTGAATTGGGAATTCACCAAATTTTGGATGACTTTTTATCTATTCAACCGCCCTACTGCACGCCAACTTAGTAAAATCACAAGTTGGAAAATGAAAGCGTCGACGTTACAATTACCAACGCTTGATATTTTAAACAAAAATTATCCCGACATTTTGAAAGGACTCAAAACATGTTTCCTTTGTAAGACAGAAAATGAAACTAATTTACATCTTTGGCAATGTCAAGAAACTTTAACTTTATTAGCACCTATTTTTAATAATTTCGTCATTAAATTATAAGCAATCTTAACTGAACACGCCGAAATACCAACCTGCATTTGGCAAGACTCTATCAGATTTTGCAAGATCTTTTCGTGGACAAGATCAGCCTCAGATAATATTGCTCAAAATGAGCATTTATTTATTTATCTTTTTTACTCAATTATATACCAAATGAACTATTAGAACCCTTCCGTGAAACCATCAAATCTAAAAACTTATTATTAAAATTCGCTCACGATCTCCGTGTGGAAATCTATGGAAATTACATAATACAATATTCAAAGAATGGAAAACAGCTAATAATATTACGAAAAAGACGTTCAAGAATCATCGTCGTAACGTGATTCTTCATCTCCCCCTCCGACGGATCGCATACGAAATCGTAACGCTCATACTGAGTGGCTCTATAGATGCCCTTATAGCAATGAAAGACGAACCCTTGATAATACCGTGGTTTCATTCGCTAGACTTATCTGCTTTTATAGATAGTTCGAATACTTTATTTACTTCTGGTTACGTTTCCCCTTACTTTTACTTTAGTTTCTAATTCCCTTTGTTCGTGCCCTGCTATGGCGACTATGGTCAGTTCTTCCTTACGAAGGGTGAGTCCGCCTGTTGGATTTTGTATATCTAGTCTAGATTTGTATTTATATTATGCCTTTTTGTCATAATGAGTCTGTATCTGGCGATGTATTCATCTCTTCTAAAGTAAAAATAAAATAAATAAAATAAATCTAAAAAATGATGAGCCAAATTTTTGGTAAAATTGCAGGCAAATTTGCCTGCGTGTAAGAACTGTAAGATTTAAAATAAACTATGTTTACCACCTCCTTAAAAACATTGGCGATACGACGAACTTTTTTTTTGTCGCCCTTAATTTAAAATCGCCCTTACTTTAATTTAAAGTCGCACAAATTTAATATTTATCTAATCTAATATATCCTTTACCATAATAAAATAATTCAAATTTTTTTTTTAAAAAAAAAAAATGAGTCATAGTGCAACACGCATGCTTTTTAACAAAGACATTTTTCTTTGTTAATTAATTATTTTTAGAAAATTAATTAATAATAAATCAGCCAATGTGACTCGTAATTTTGACAAAAGCAACAAAAGCAGCAAAAGCATTAAAGGAAAAAAAACCGATCTGTTATAAAAATAAATTTTAATGTTACATAAATGTCTGACTAATTAAAATTAATTATAGCTTTTCAAAATGGATAAACAGATTAGGCAAAACTAGCCAGCTTAATACAGTAACAAAGCAATGGCAAGTAAAATGATAATATAATTTTCTTTCTTAATGTCAATAAAATGAAGATCTTAATAATTACGCGTTTATGATAAAACGTTGCATTTTATGTAATTGTTCTTTTTAAGCAAATTTATTTTTAGGAATTCCGAAAAAAATAATAAATCTGTTAATAAACATTTCTTATAAAAAGACTCCAAAAATTCCTAGAATAGTAAAAAAATTCAAAAAAAAAACAAACGAAAAAATAAAACCAACAATCCAAATCAAAAACCAAACATGATCATTTATACTCCCAATAATTATTCTCGCTCCAAAAATTCTCAAAATTATTCAATAGATAGTTATATTCAACTACATTTTCACGCTCCGGTTCCGCGTCCTCAGTATTCACACTTTTCCCTGTTCTTCAAGAACCTGGAGCTGATCGAGACCTTTTGTCCTCTGGTCAAAATGGGCCTTCTCTTATTAAAAAAAAAAATGGACCAACAATACCAAATATCCATTTGGTTTTGTTTTTCTTACACGCTCCTTTCTTCCCTTTTTCATTCTTCACCTTTTCCTTTTCCCCTTTCCCTTTTCTCGCCTTCTTCATTAATATAAAATATTATTGAAACAAATAAATTTATTTTAAAAAAAAATGGACCAACAAGTCTATGTTGTGAATTACCTAAAGTGTTTTCTCGCATGAAAATTGATAAAATCACACGACATAATATAAATTATGTGATATAATAATACCAAATATCCATTTGGTTTTATTTTTCCCATACACTCTTTTCTTTTAATTTTATTAATATATAAATGGGCCAACAATATCAAATCCCCTATTTCGCCTATAAATCACGATAATATTATTAACTTTTTAATTTTCATAGAATTAATTTCCAAATCTTCAATACTGGAGAGTTTATGTATCATTCCTAAGAGAATGTGCAGATTACCTTATCTGGTTTACCAAACTACTGAAAAATTAAATAATTTATGAATTTATCATGATAATATAATTCACTTCTATGGAATTAAACATTATGACTTTCTATAGTAACTTTTTTGAGCTTTTTTATCCCTCTTCCACTTTCCCTTTTTCATCCTTCACCTCTTCATTTTTCCTTTTTCCTTTTTTTCGTTCTTCCCTTTCTTTTTTTCGTTTTTCCCTTTTCTTTTTTTCGTTTTTCCCCTTCTTTTTTTTCATTCTTTAAAATAAAATATATGGATTTTAATTATACTCTTCCTGCAGAAGCGATTTGTCCCTTTAATATGAATATTTTACCCTTAACTGATAATCATATAATGATAATTTATGTTAAATCAAACAATGGTGTCTTTCTTTTTTTCGTTCTTCCCCTTTCTTTTTTTTCATTCTTTTCCTTTCTTTTTTTCGTTCTTCCCCTTTCTTTTTTCGTCTTCCCTTTTCCCCTCTCTTTTGTTTTTCCCTTTTAAATTGATTTCATTTATTAAGATCTATTTTCTCATAATCCACTTTAATTGTCATGTATAGTTTATGTATTCATTCATGGCTTAAATCTATAACAATTAAAAACAAAACAAAAAAATAAATTTTTTCTTTTTAATATATTTTTTTCGTTCTAAATAAATGATAATTTTGTCCCGTGATTGCATCTCGAAAATACATTTAAGAAAATGGCTAATCATTTCAAAGTCATGCAATTGAAGCCGAGTTCTTTATTTAAATTTCATTTCTCGTATATAATATGGATTATATATTAGCATCACGCCATCACAGTCAATATAAATATTATTGTAAATTTTTGCCCAAAAAAATTGATCGAATCACACGTAAAAATTTAAAATAGATTTTCATTATTTGAAAGCAATTACATCACACGGATCTACATACAATCAAGTGTAATGTGATATGGTTTACTACTCACAAATAAATAGCATAAATTATATTATTATTGTAAATTAATTTATATTATATACAGTACATATATTATACGAATACGATCCAATTTCAGGTACAAGCGGATTAGATTTTTTATTGAAAATATTGTTATGAGAAACATAAATTATTTCCACTCAATAAAATATTTAAAAAATAATATATATTTGAATATATTTCAATAAAATAAATGTTAGTCACATCACCGTCGCGTCTTGATAATATGATTTGTCTTAATAATATTATTTGACTCATTAATTTTTTTTTTTTCTCCTAAACATAAGGGGCTAAATAAATGAAATCATTTGAAATAAAAAATCAATAAAACCAAAAAAAGAAAATATGACTTCCAAAAGAGGGACATAATAGCAATCGCAGAATCGTAGATCATTGATAAGGATCAATCCGTAGCAAATGCAACTTATAAAGGAGTATTTTATGCAATTCTTCCGTCAAAAGGAACAAAAATGAAAAAAAATGAATAGCGATTTGATTATTTACATGCATGAGAATATTTCGCATGATTTCTAACGAATAGAAAATTGTCATGAGAACTTTAAAAAATCGGATTTATTTGATTCCATCAGGTTTTAATGAACAACTATAAATGATTACATTTAAGAAGAATCTAATGCACGTTGGCGTTTCAGAAATGGTCATCTGGCATCTTTTGTTTATAAAAAAAAATTAGAAAAAAATAAAGAAAATATCAAAAAAAAAATAATAAATTTTTCTTGAAAATATTTTTTTATAAAATTTTTTGTATAGTATATGCTATGAAAATTTTCTTTTTTTTTTACTGTCGTATTATAGCTGATAGATGTGCATGTAGTATATATAATAATGTACTACGTATATTTTTCGATAAGCCTAATTTGGTTAATTTTTCCAGTGATCACAAAAAATTTTGTACTCATATATATGATTTTTTTGACGAATAAAATTCCTTTGATGCACCTTCGATGCACCAATTATTTTATTATCGTTTGTTATTATCATTATTTTTTCTTAGCTTTTTTCCTTAAAAAAGAAAATAATGAATATATATTTATTATGTTATTATTCAAACTTTTTCTCAATATTATATTTATGATTGCTATTGTAACAAAAAAAATATTTTAAGAAAAATAAATCCATTTAGGGTTAATTCAGAGAAATGATTAGGAATTAATAAACAAACCCAAAAAAAAAATTCGAATTGTATTAGTTCACAAAATTTGTTATTTAATACCACATTTTTTGGCGTATTCAGGCCTTCACCATGTTCTATTTAAAAAAAATAATTAGACCGGACAAATAAATTTTTTATTTACTCGGCCTTATATTTCTCTCATTTCTTATTTAAAACGCCTTATATTTCATCTTCACAATGTCAAGCAAAACGATCATTGCCGACAACATCGTATTTACTTTCTAAAACGTCGACGAGTTTATAAAAGATAAAGATACAAAATCAATAAACTATCTGCCGGAGACTACACTACTGTACTACTGCTATCATAGTGTCATTGTTCGGTTCTTGTTTCTGTAGTTTTTTCTTATTATTGAAATTCGATTATTTTTTTATTCGTACTCTCATTCTCGACGGCTCAATCGGCTCAATGTATATTAATTTTAAATTTGATCTTAAAAGATACAAGAACGAATTCATTATAATTTTTTTTTAAAAAAATTCATTCTTTTTCGTATTCTAGTAATAAGATTGCTTCTGCAAAGGAATAAAAAAAACAGAACATAAAACTTTTTTTTTTCAAAATTTTGTTTAAGTAATTCTTCAATGATGCAAGAAAAAATGAGCCGGATTTCGAAATTAAGGGATTTTTTTTTTGCAAATATACATAAGACTAGTATTCGTGAATTGAAAAAATTTTATAACATTTTAAAATATTTATGAATTTTTTTTTTTTAAATTAAGTTTTATTATATGTATCTACATTTTAGTTTTAAGTAACTTTTAATAAAATTTTTTGAAATTTTAAAGATAAATATATAAGTCAAGATAACAAACAATGAATTATCAATTAATCTCATCAAGAAAATAATTAAATATAAATATGAATTTTCTGTTCCACAGACTTTTTCAATGAAGAATAAAATTCTTGACATATAAATACTAATTTCCGCAATCGTTCATTCTTAATATTTATCGCTTGAAGCTTTTCATATGTTTCCAAAATACGTTCATAATTTATCGGCAGGGCTAATCAAAAACATAAAATAAAAGATGGGTTAAAATTAATTTTTTTAAAAGAAAATATTTAAAGAGGTCTGTTTTACTTACCTTCCTCGTCAAGGTATTTATTATAACTAAGGTTTAAAATTGTCAAAAAAATATTAAAGTTTTTGCCTTAAAAGAAAAAGAATATGCACAAATATTTTGTTACTTACTGGTTTTCAATTTGTTCTGGTGTGTATTGCGGCAATATCTTGCTAATCCTTATAAAACAATCATCTAAATGTCCATACATTCTCACGGAATGTCTGATACGATTATTTTCCTACAAGAGAAACACGCCTCGTTAAAAATATTTGATATTTTTTTTTTGAAAAAAAAAACAATAATAAATCTATTTACTTCAAGACCGAATTTGCACATTTTTTATTTCTTGTTGATTATTAATAAATTATTTTCAAAAATGATAAAAAAAATTTAAAGAAATTTGAAATTTCCCTGTCAAAATAATGTGGTTTATATAAGAAAGGATTCAAAATAAAAAAACAATAATAAGGATCAATTCAAATACAAGATAATATAAAAAAATAATAATTGAGATCAATATTACACGACAATGTTTGTTATCGATTTAGCTTTAATATCTCTTTGTGTCATTGCCTTTTTTACATTATTATCTGCATAGTACTTCAATCATCGTATAATCGCACATATTAAATTGCCCCTTATATTATTAAAATCATTATATCAATGATCGATAATATTTAAAATGAAAATCCCTGATGAATTCATCAAATAATATTATCTGATCTAGTCCATTTTTAGGATGTTTGAATCCAATCCATTTCATTGTCGAATCTGAAAAATAAAAACAATGTATACTTTACTGTCTACTTTAAAATTCGATAAATAAATCTAATCTATTTTAGGACCAATCCAATCCCATTGTCGAATCTGGAGAAAAATGTACAATGGTGGATCATACCGTCTATTTTATATTTCGATAAATAAATCTACAGTAGTCAATGTGTATCTTTTTTATATTATTATCCGCATAGTACTACTTCAATCATTGTATATGATCGTATTATCGTACATATTGCATTGCCCCTTATATTATCAAATCATTATGATATCAATGATCGATAATATTTAAAATTAAAATCCCTGATGATTCTATTCATCAATCCATCAAATAATATTATCTAACCTATTCCATTTTTAGGATGCTTTAAATCCAATCCATTTCATTGTCGAATCTGAAAAATTAAAAACACTGCTGTCTACTTTAAATTCGATAAATAAATCTAATTTATTTTAGGACCAATCCAACCCCATTGTCGAATCTGGAGAAAAAAAGAACAATGGTGGATCATGAAAGAATTACCGTCTATTTTCGATAAATAAATCTAGTCTATTTTTAGAGTGCTTCAATCCAATCTGTGGTTAATCATGAAGAAATACTTTCTATTTTAAATCTCGATATATATTTTATTTTAAATATATGAGGACAAATAAGAAAGCTAAATAAAATTTTCTTTAAGACGGTTCGCCAAAAAATAAATAAAAAAAATAAAAAATTTTATTGGCGGCTTTTGCCACACATTATTAATTAATCTGTGTTTTATTCCATCATTATGATTTATATTATCTGATATGTGTTACCGGCGCGGTATATCAAATTTAGTATAATAAAAAATTTTCAGGAATCCGATCACATGCCCGTGGGTGATCTTAACCCGGGACATAATTTCATAATTTTTGGTTCGTAATTTTGGCCAAAACACGTAATGTCGTATTTCCTTATTCTCTTTTGAACGTGTATCTTAAAAACTTCTATATAGAATTAAACAAAGAATTCAAAAAAACAATAAAGCATATTGAATTAAACTTAATAAGGTAATGAAATTCTGTAAAAGGAATAATGAATAAGATCAATAAAACCCTTTTTATATCTTTATTATAATATTTATTTTTAAATTTTTAAATCAAATTATGTAACAATTAATTTAAATATATAAATAATATGTGAAACATGATAAGAAATATTTAAATGATTTGTAATAGTTATATAATGAATTAATAATCATGCACAAAATATGTCATAAGAACTTTATTGTTAATGTGATTCTATGATTCTAAAAGATTCCGATTAATAATTTATTATTAATAATCCTTTAAAATATAAAAAATCATGTTATATTTTTGGAACAATCAAATGCATATTGGCGTTTGAATTGGTCATCTGTCATCTTATATTTAGATATATTTTTTTTAAAAAAAAATAAAAAAATAAAAAAATCAACCTAACCAAAATAAAGTATCTTATCAAAGATAATGGTCAATTACTGAATAATTTCTCACAAAAAATGGGGCTGGTACTTTTCTCAAATAAATTTTTTTTTTAATATTTATATCTTGAAATTTAAAAATTTCTTTAACTATTAAAAATTACGAGTCCGGCTGGAATTATGGTATTAATGTTGCAATCACGTGTCAGTCGTGTCACCTGACAATCAACTGATTTTCGCCTTTATACCGCAGACGAAAAGATTTTTATATAGTTATTATTAAATAGACAAAACAAAAGAAATATAAAAACACAAACTAGTTTATATTTGTAATTTCCACAGTTGCATAACCTACTGGATATTTCTCAATTCTTTACGGATTAACAAACTTTTTGTTCTTTGACTGAACTGATAAATATAAATTAGTAGATACCAAAAATGTATTGGAACTCTAATTCAAAAGAATATTAAACCGCATTAACCCATCAGTCATCATGCAGTGATCATAGAAAGATGTGGCAAAGCTCATTACGAACGGTAGTAGTTTCGCGTCTCTAGCGTTGATAGATGGAATTTTATTTGCAATTTATGATAATTTGGTTAATAAATATCTTAAAAGAAATCTTCTAATAGATGTCATAAAACATTTATTTCTCATATTGATCTTATTATCTCAATACTTCGCGACCCTAATGATACAAAAATAGGAATTACTAAAGATCAAAATTGGATAAAGGATACTACTTTACACAGCAAGTCCACAAATATCAAAGATAATTTTTTAATAAAATGTAAAATTTTATATTCTCTAATTAAATAACTATTTTAAAAAATAACTAATTTATGTGAAAACAGAATATTCTATTTCCAAATGATTTGATATGAGATCCGAAATCCACATTATGTCATAACATGCGAGAGCTATTCGTTAAAGTGTCGACCAAATAATATTAATAAACCTTAAAATATCGGTCGGTACACTATTATAAAGAGACAAAAGAAAAGTATCGGTGCATGTTACATCGCGAAATTATATATAAATGAGATCAAGTGAAATGGGGCATGGGAAATTTATCAGTACATACAATTATCGGTACGTCCCGTCTGTAACGTACATTTTTTTTTCGATAGTCAAACAATGATCTGGATTGCGTTTTTATGATTAAACGAACGCTATATATGCTAATTAGTTATTCTAATAAAGATTAAGTTTGCACAGAATATTTCATATATAAAAAGGTTCTATATAATAAATTTTTTAGCCTTTATTAATAATTATATGATTTTGTGGACTATCATATTTTTTATTATTATTACGGGCTCAACCAGAGTCACGTACTCACGCGATTTACAACGAAAACTATCTGCTAGCTGCGCATTCTTACTGCATCTTTCAGATTATTTTCGTTCACGTAGGGATGCTCCTTTGATTTATTGGAGAATTCTAGAAAAATTTGATATTGAGAACCATACTGTACCCATACTAGTACGTATCACTAAATTATACCAATTAAAAAAACACTTTTTAATTTTTAAAATACATTAAATATTTATTATTCATAGTTTTCATAGTTTAATATTCTTAATTGGAATTTATGATCTTAAATATCTTAATTAACATAACATTTCATTAAAAATTAATAATATAAAAATACAAATAAATAGAAGAATGACAAATATTTGTTTCTTCCTAAAAAAGCTCACATCATGATTTATATAAACTTTGTTATATAACTTTTTGATGAAAATTGAATCAATTTCTAACCTTTTTTACTTGGTTATTCTTTTTGATTTTTTTTTATTTGCTTGCTTTTTTTTCTTTGTTGTTTTTTTATTATATGGTTGTTTTCAACTTCTACTGTCATAAAATTATTCCCTAGTCTGATGGCATGAAAGAGAACATGTGCTCTGCCGTATTTATAAATTAAATCATTCGGCCGAACGTGAAGATCTACAGTTGATTGGAGATATGATAGAGTGATAGAGACAGATAGATCAATATATTAAATACACTTAAGTATAAAGTATGGTTAACAAATAATCCTTGAATTATAATATTTACCTGCTTCATTGCAAATGAACTTTATTAATATGATATAAAATTTTTGTCATTGCCTATGACACTTTTACCATCAAATCCTGAGGAAGTGGGTAGAAATTTAATTTAATAAAATTGCAAATGGGTTTGATTAATTTTAGATAAAATTAAAGGTGATATTTATTACCTACTATACTGATACTGATCCACTGATTTTGTATGGACATGATCCTGAGAATTATTCAGCGATTTGGTAGATACAGGACATGCCATAAAGCATAGAGATCGAACATCCCAATATCTTAGTTGCTAAAAATAAAAGTAAATATTTGTATAAATATAAAATATGATTAACCTGATTAACATAAAATATTTACCCGCTTCATCACAATCGATCATTGAAATTACTTCACTTCACTTGGTGTCTTCATTTCGTTCAAAATTAATCATGTGATCAATTGTAAGAAGCGGTAAGACTAGCTGTTGGTGATGAAGTGGATGTCTAAAAAAAAAGAATTAAACGAATGTAAAAAGAAAGAAATAAGTTCAGCAAAGAAAATTAAAAGTTATTTCTTTGCAATACCTTTCTCTACGCTGGATCCTTATGAAAACTTTCATATAAAATGTCTGATATGAATATGTTTTGTAGGATGATTAAATTCCTTTCTGTTTATTGCGGTGTTTCTCCTAACTTTCAGGAGTTTTGTGACCTCACTTTTATAATATTAATGATGTAGTGTATAATAAGTGTGTTATATGGCTTATTAATTATTACATTATAAACCTTTTGGTATTTCAATTAAATTTTAAGTAATCATATTGATAAATCTACTAAAAGAAACCTTTTTCATATCATAAATAAAAATTTAATCATTCAAAGAAAATTTAAATTTGAATTATTTGTATCTTTTGCAACTGGATATCGGGTCTCCCTTAATATTATTTTATCACAATATTTAGGAAATTCATTACATTTTGCACGAGTGTGTACAAAGGAAGTTTATCGACTATCCTCCGGACTTTTTTTTTACAAAAAAGGATTTTGAAGGAGAAAAGAAGGGGGAAAAAGGAATAGTGTGCCGACTTAACTGGAGTTAAATAATAAACGATTTTGTCATTTAGTGTTTTAGT